GGGAGAATGGGAGGGTAGGGAGGGATGAGGGTGGGAAAGAAGAAAGCGGGTATTATGATTAGCATGTATAGTGTGAGGAGTGGGGGAAAGGGGAGGGCTGTGCAGCACAGAGAAGACAAGTAGTGATTCTACAACATCTTACTATGCTGATGGACAGTGACTGTAATGGGGTTTGTGGGGCGGGACTTGGGGTAGGGGAGAGCCTAGTAAACATAATGATCTTCATGTAATTGTAGATTAATGATAACAAAATTTAAAAAATGAAGGCAAAGTAAAACATTTTCAGATATTCAAACACTAATAGAGATTATCACATGAAGTTCTGTACTACCAGAAATGTTTAAAAAACCCTATAAGCAGAAGAAAAATAATACCAGATGAAAATCCAAATCTTTATGAAGAGAAAAAGATTGCTGTGAATGTAACTATATGGGAAAATAATGTATAATTTATTATAGATCAATGATAGCTCAATAAAACTGTTGGAAAAAATACATAGCCTATAAAGGAAATGGTACATACGTTATCTCTGGGAGTACAAACTATTAAAACCTTTTTGGAGAATACTTTTAGCAAATCAGTTAAATTTTTAATATGTAATGCCTTTATCCCAGAATTTCCCCATTTCAGAATTTTATCTATAGCAATACTCCCAGGACTATATAAAAAGGTCAAAACCTTTCACTATGATATTGTTATCAATAATAAAAAACTTGCAATTACCCAAACTGTCAACAATTAGAACCATTAGAAAATTATGTTACTACCAGAACAAATTAAAAATAAGGTACATCTCCTTACCCTTAATAAAAAAGCTTACTTTATAGTTCTGACATTTAATAAAATCATGTTCATTGAGTAGAAAAAAAAAAAGAAAGAATAAATAGTAAGGGTCCATATACACTTTCACAGAGCAGTCAAAAAAGGTGAATTTGGAGCTGAGAGGCAATACATGGATAAACTAGTACAGCAAACACATTTCAATAACTATCCCTGTATATACATCATTACATACTATCTGAATGTTTTCTTACATATGTTTCTAGACATAGAATTGATAGATAAAAAAGTAGACAAAATTTGCTCTCTCAAAAGGTATATTAGCTATCCTCCCATGACATAGTGTTAGGAGCTTCTAGTTCTTCACACTTTATTTAAACCTGGGTATTAGTATTCCTTTTAATCATTACAAATATGATAAAAGAAAAACCATCATTCTTTGTTATTGGTATTTTAAAAATTATACTGATGTCACAGTATGTTTATTTTTCTTTTCTAAATTTCCTGTCTAAATCCTTTGCCCATTGAAAAAAATGGAGTATTAAGTCTTTTTCTTATTGATTTGTGTATCTTCTTTATGTATTAAGTGTCAGAGAGTTTAAATATTTGAGACCAAATTTTATATTATTTCATTTTTAATAATTTAAAAGTTAATTCATCTGGAAGTCATTTTAGTTTAAGGTAGAAGGTAGGTATTTAATTTTTTGTTTTGTTCTAATAATGTTAACTGTTTTATTTTGTTTCCTGACTTATGTGTTACTTTGATCATATGTTGAATTGCTTTACATGCCTGGGTCCATTTTTGGACTTTAAATTAATTTTTCCTTGGTTTTTAGTCAGTCACTTGTTTTACTTTTTCTTTTAGAACAAGATGCAGGCCTCGATGCCCTTTGCTCTATTATAAGTCGCCAAAAACAAATGGGTCAAGAAATTGGGAATGAACTGGATGAACAAAATGGTAAGAGCATGGCTGAGATTGACCAAATTTGCCTTTTAGTATGCTAAAGGCTTGAAAGTTTATTAAATGATCTTAATATTACAAAACACATAAAGTAATTTAACATAAATGGATAGTTATAGTTTGATGCAGTTGAGGGTGGTTTATGGCAGGTTTAGACTGTAGATGATAAATATTATATAAAGAAATTTGATAAAAAATTCCAGTTCTCCATGGCTGTTTTTAAAAACACTTTTATGATGCATTTATCTCCAAAACTTTTCCTCTATGTGGTAATGTGATGAAATCAGCCAGAGCCTTGTACACTGATGGAAGGCATGCAAGCCTGCTGGGGCTCCGTGTCGTCTACATGGTGGAGTTGGCTCCTCTTCTATTATAAATACCTGGCAGGGGGTGAGCAAAAAAGTGCGTGAAGATCTTTGTTCAGGGCTTGGACTGACAAATGTGGTTGGAGAAAGATTAATTTGCAAACCACAGCAAGATGGCTTGGGAGAGACAAAGTCTTAAGTTGGGAGCCTATGACTTGGGAGATGGAGTTTTAAGTTGGGAGCCTATCCGAAAGGCTGTTGGGCTTGATGAGTGAGCATTGAAGCTCTTGGAATGGACGAATGCCCCCTCTGCAAGTTGGACTGCACACAAAGCTCTTATGTGTGCAGTGTGAGGGACAGAAGCACAAATGAGAGTGGCAGCAGTAAGGATGAGAAGAGAGGATGGATGCAGGTGATGGTGGTGGACACGGGCATTGGGAGGGTCACTGGTTTGTGAGGAGTGGAGGTTATAAGTCCAGTTTGGCCATTTCCTATTAGAAATGTCAATGAGATATATGAGGGGAGTGTTGAGTAGACACCGGGAGATACATAGCAGAGCTCAGACAGTACCAAAAAAAATAGATGTGAGAAGCTTCAGCCTGGAGGTGTGTGCAAAAGCATAGGAATAGTTGGGCTTCAGTAAAGCTAGCATTTATCAAAGCCCCTCCTATGTGCTAAGCACTCTCATCCAGGACATTTCACTTAATCAGAACTCAGCATCATGAAGGTGGTATTATATCTGTGTATTAGGGATGAAGCTCTGAGCAGCTAAGGGATCTCCTAATGTCACATCAGTTACAGATTAAAGAACTGAAATTCCAACACAGGTCTTCCAGTTCTAATGTGACTGCTTTTTCTACTGTGCTGGCTTCCTCTCTGAGGAAGAGAAAGTAGGGAGAGAAAAGGAAAAGGTTCTAGGTTTTTAGCTCTGGTGATCATACCATTGAGGCTCGTGATGCAATGACTTTCAAGAAGAATTACCATGGATGAGGGGGCACTGAAGCCCTAGGGATGGATGTGTGCTCCCTCTACAGGGAGGGCTGCACGTGTCAAAATCATACAAGTACTCCTTTTCTTGTCTCTAAAAGGAATAAGTTCATTTGTTCTCACAGTACTATTCTGTTTATCATAAATAAATGAGTTCCATCTACTTATTATTTATCATAAATAGATTATTAAACAAATGGAGAAATCCTCTATCTTTATAGTCCTTATAATGGTTTTTAATAATTTAAGTGCACAGACAAGGACAATTTAGGACTTTTCCTGATGGCACAGATGTGAATGTACTAATTTATGTATTTGCCTGTAATTCATACCCTGGCCAGTTCCTTCCTTGAAAAAACAGCATTGGTAAGAAAGTAAGCCCTACAGAAACTGTGCTAAGCATATTTGTAAATGTTCTTTATCCAAAGGAAATTAGCCTACTCCATGGGTCAGACTGGAAAGGATTCTAGCCACCAAACTGGAGAAATGTGCATCCTGTGGTGTCTAGATAAGTTGCAGCCCAGTGATGTATGGTCAGGTGGTTAGAATTGATGGTGATATGTTGGTGGGATCACCTGCTGATTTCCCAGATGAAATCGCCATATATTTTTCCAGCATAAGCAGTCATACCACCGTGTCCCTGTCTTGCCTTTTCTCTAGGTCAATGGCATTTTAGAATCGCCTGGGAAGCTTTGAATCCTCCCAAATCCCAGGCCATACCTGTGTTAGTTTTCTATTGTTGCTCTAACAAATTGCCACAAACTTAGAGGCTGAAAACAACACAAACTTACTCTCTTACGGTCTGGAGCTCAGAAGTCTGACAGGGGTCTCACTGGTCTACATCAAGGTGTGGGCAGGGCTCATTCCTCACTGGAGGCCCTAGGGAAGCATTTCCTTGCATTTTCCAGCTTCTGCAGTCTTCCCGTGTTCCTTGGCTTGTGGCCTCCTCCTTGATCTTCGGAGCTAACAGCAGTAGATCGAGCCTTCTCACATCACATCACCCAGACCTTTAATTTCTGCCTCCCTCTTCCACTTTTAAGGACCTTGTGATTACATTGGGGTCACCCAGGTAATCCAGGATAATTTCCCTATTTGGGGGACAGCCAGTTAGCAACCTTAATACCCCCTGGCCATGTAATATAACCTACTCACAGGTCCCAGGGACTAGGATGTAGGCATTTTGGGGGGCTTTTATTCTGCCTGCCACAGACCTTTATACCAATTAAATCAGAATCTCCAAGGAGTGAGGTCCAGGCATCGGTATTTTTTAAGGCTCCCCAGATGGTTTCAGTGCGCTGCCAAGTTTGAGAACCAGTTCGTTTGGTGATTTTGCTGAGAGAATACATTTAGTGCTGTACTTCTATGGGGCCTCTTGTGTGCTCATGCTGTGGATGTAAATCTCACACATTCACAGACCAGCCCTCATAGTTACATATGTACATGTATATAGTCACAGTGTATGTGACCATCCTAGTCACGGACAGAACTCTCTGGCCTAGTCACATGTTTTACGCCCCTCCTTTTCACTGCTTCTTTCATGCCTCCTGAGTTCTCATCTCCATTCCAGACCCGGATGTGTACATGTGTACACAGACAAACATGGGGTATTTTTCCATTAGTTGCCAAAATAAGCTGGGTTTTCCCTGTGGTGGCCTCCCAGAGAGATGGCAGTTATGCTGGTGGTTCGCTAATGTGCACATTTGCTCCGCAGAAATAGGGCTGAGTCAGCCATTTTTTCATAGGAACTGAGGGACTCTCTGAGGATAAAAAATTATATCCCTGCCAGGACTGTAATCAGCCTTTATTCCTTTTGTCAAAATCAAAAAGGCCATTATATCTGTAGGTGTTGAGCACAGGGCTGCAGCCCCCTCTGAATTTTTATTGTGACCTAAGCATGTAATGAGGTGTCAGGGACACTGGGGCACATGTATGAACAGGTGGTTAGAATTGATGGTGATATGTGAATACCACTTTTGTTGTAAATATCTCTATTTGATATTCTGACCTGGTGAAGTATTCTTTGGGTTTTCATTAAATGAGAAAAACAATAGGCCAAGATAATGGCCAGCCAGGCCATTTTGGAATCAAGTATCAAAACCTTACTAACTGTAGTAGGGACATAACCACAGAGCTGAAGAGTCAAGTTACCATCAATGTAGGAACTCAGTTTCCAGTCTTCTCATGTAGAGTTAAAAAAGGCCTGACCAACACCAATTACCCTGTTCATATGCCAGTGAGCAAGCCTAATGAGGAAATGGATTAGCTCAGTGAACATCCCAGTGATGGGAGACCTACCCATGCCCTGGATGTGGGGGCTGGGAGCTGGTGAAGGTGGGGGTGGTAGGAGAAAGGGTGGAGAGCGGACCCAGGGGGAACGAACCACAGCGTGTAGTGCCTGAGAGTTCAAGGTGAACCATGCAGTGCCTGAGAGTTCAAGGCGAACCATGCTGGTGGCTGGGCACAAGGGATTCATGGCCGACTCCCAGATGCCATTCCAGGATGAAGAGCTGTGGCACTGGTTTACCAAAAACTCCCTAAAGCTCATGCTCGGAAGGACAGGGCTTTTTGAAAAGAACACTAAAACAAGATGAGTGGGATTGGCTTGACTAAAGTAGATGTTTTTGAGACCTAATTTTGGCATTGGCCAAGCCTTAAAGCCAGTACCAAGAAGAACCATAGTGGTGTGGTTCTGATGGATGAAAGAGCACCAAGAACAGGCTGCTTCACAAAGTTCTGCCCGTGCCTGCCAGTCCTCATCATTCTTTTTGATGTTTGAATATCCTAAACCTGGCCAATCCTTTCCACGTTTGTTAATCATTGAGCACTTTCTTGCTTTCTGAGAGAAACCAAGGTGACAAGGAAGGATGTCTGTCTTGATAACATCAATACTGGGATAGAGGAGACGTGTGCATGGAAAATACAACCAAGCTCCTTGAAGGACACAAAATGATCAGAGAAAGATTTCATATACACACCAGCGAATTAGCACTGGAAGGAATTGTTAGAGCTCCTCAGCTGAATTTTCATGTTCAAAGTTTAGAAAAGTAATGTTACAGGCTGAGGAATAGCCCCTAGAGATGCCCAAATCCTGATTCCTGGAGTCTGTATTACCTTATATGGCAATAGGAACTTTGCAGTGTGTCAGTAAATTAAGGCTATGGTGACGGGGAGATTATCCTGGATTGTGTGGTTGGGTTCTAGGTATAATCACAGTGTCTTTTTAAAAGGGAGGCAGAACGATTTGATACAAAAGAAGGCAGTGTGACAATGGAAGCAAGATACTATCCTGCTGGCTTTGAAGATGAAAGAAGGGGCAACAAGCAAAGGGATGGATGCAGGGCACGCAGCTCTAGAGGCTGGAAAAGACCAGGCAGGGAATTCTCCCCTAGGGCCCCTGGAGGGGCTTGTAATTACAGTCCGGTGAAACTGATTTCAGACCTCTGATCTCCACAATTGTGAGGGATTCAGTGTATATTGTTTTAAGCCCCTAAGTTTGTGATAATTTATTAGAGCTGCAACAGGAAACTAATACACATACTAACTGTGTCTTTTTGTCAATAGTCAGTGAAATCAGTTTAGTCACCCTTAAGCTAAAAAAACGAATATTGAGTCCTCCATGTGTCTGTAGCTCCTCTTACCTCTTTAAAGCAGGCCTCACAGAAGGAAGCTCCGCATAGCTGGTCCCCTGGCCAGCCTCCCCCTAAA